TGGAGGCTGCAGTGAGCTGTGATTATGCCCCTGCACTCTAGCCTGGGGAACAGAGCAAGACCCTGTCTCAAAACAAACAAACAACGAAATTTAAAAATAATAATAAAAAATAAAAACAACAAAAACAAAAATTAAAAACTTAATCAAAATAATATACATAGAGTATACGTTAGTAAATTTATAGGAAAAAGCTAAAACCCAATATACCTGATAATCAATGTTTATAGATAAATACTGTTATCTCTGAATAATGGGGTATTTGGGAACATTTACTTTCTACATTACATATTTCTTAACGTTTGACTTTTTATAATCCATATATGTTATTATCATAATCATAAAAAATACAGTGGAAATATTTTATTTAAAAACGAAACCTACAACCAGAGGTCTTAACAAACTCTGTTAACAGGAGGACCATTTTTAAAGCAATAGCACACTGTGTTTTCAAAGGGTGCTTCCTCACACTCCGCTGCTGGGAATATAAATTGGAGTAATCTTTCTCAAGGGCAATTTGTAATACAAACCAAAGCTCTAAAAATGTGTATATCTGTTGACCTAGTGATTCTACTTCTGGGAATTTATCCTAGGAAAATGATTAAGGAGGCAAGCAAAGATTTAGCTACTAGGATATTCTTTGTATTGTTTCTGTCATATATCCTAAATGTTCAATAATAAGGAACAGATTACATAAATTATTGTAGACTCATGTAATAAAGTATTCTGCAGCCATTAACAACAACGTAGAAGTCTATTGATGTAAAAAATATGCTTACTCTGGGAGGCCGAGGCTCCTGTTTGAGCTCAGGAGTTCGAGACCAGCCTGAGCAAGAGTGAGACCCCGTCTCTACTAAAAATAGAAAGAAATAAATCGGACAACTAAAAAATATATAGAAAAAATTAGCCGGCATGGTGGCGCATGCCTGTAGTCCCAGCTACTCGGGAGGCTGAGGCAGAAGAATTGCTTGAGCCCAGGAGTTTGAGGTTGCTGTGAGCCAGGCTGATGCCACGGCACTCACTCTAGTCCGGGCAACAAAAGCGGGACTCTGTCTCAAAAAAAAAAAAAAAATATGCTTACAACTTGTTTGAAAGTGTAAAAAATAAAAGCAGATCACAAAGCCTTATTACAGTGTGATCTTTTATAAATCTAAAGCTACAGATCCTATGACTTCATTAAGTCCCTGGCCCACATTCAGTTATCTGATTTGTAGAGGGGAATATGGCTAAATGTAAACTGTGATTTTCCCAAAGCAGTTCAGTAACTTGGGCTGTGTGATTCCCACTGCCTGGAGTGGCCTTCTCTGCCCTGTGTGAGGAATTCTATTCAGGAGCCTAATTATCTCTTTATTACACCCTTGATACTAGTGTAAACTGCTAAATTGGAGGGTTATTTGGCAATATTTATTACTTTTTAAATGTGCATGGCTTTTGACCTGAATCTGCTTCTAGTAATTTATACTTGTACAAATGCTCAAAGATATATGTACTAGAATGTTTGTTATGATATTGTATTATATTAACATACATAGCAAAAAAAAAAAAGAAAATTGAAAACATACATGCCAATGAAGAGTGTTTAGGTTAAGTAAATTATGGTAAATCCAATAAAATTCTGGCCACTAAAATAAGAAAGCTCATCCTGCCACAAGTCCTTTTGTGGGGTGACATGCAGTCAGCCATTCAGGGAAAGGGACTTACCATCCTAGCACCGTGGCTTAATTTGTCCGTAACCTGGCAGAGAAGGCCCCAGCATTGGTGAATGCTGCCATGACTTATTCAAAGCCTTGAATGGCCACATTTTGGTACTAAGCCAAGGTTGAGCTTTTCCTCCAACCTCTGCTGAGATCCCTAGAGCTTTTCAGAGGCTGAAAACAATAGTGGATAGTGCTCAAACTGGTAGCTTTAAACATCTCATAGTTAAGGAAGCCGTGCTGAATGGTTTGGTGGCCACTGAGATGTGGATGTTGTTTTATAGCAGAGAGATCATAGGCAAGCGTGGCATCTTTGGCTATGTTTGAAGACCAATCTTTAACATTTGATTATATTTGACTTATTATTTGAGTGTTTTTGGACTACATGCGATCAGGTTGCTATCTGAATAAGATGTGTCAGGAAAAAAAAAAAACCTCTATACTATAGTGACATGAAAACCAATCCAAAATGTTTAAAGAAAAAAAAGCTGAACAAAGCGACCATATGTAATAACAAGTGTAGTAGTATTAATAGTTAACATTCATTAAGCATTTATTATATACCAGACATTGTGATTTGCAAAATTTCATTTAAGGCTTACCACAATCCTATCTCATCAATCTGTTTATTAGACGGATGAGAAAGTAAAATATAAAGTAGGTGAAGAATTTAATTAACTTTAATAAGCAAAGAGATTAGCTGAACTCTCTAGTGGGAAAGTGTAGAATTCCATCCTCTCAAAACAAGCAGGGAAAAACTGAAACCAGTTACCCTAAAAATTCGGTAAAGGTAAAACTTGCAGGATTCCTAAGGCATAGGAAATGCTCCAGGTTGTGAAAATAAATCCCAGTTGACATGCACCGGCTTTGAGCTCCCACTAAATGGCAGACAGATCCCAGCTATTACAAGGGCTCAGTTTGTTAACAGCTGCCCAAGTGGAACTCCCAGGAGGTGTTCCCCTTTCCTCTCCCCTCCCTAACCACATCTGGAATCTTTGACCAATAACCCTAAATCCAGAACCCCAATCTCAAAACTTTGATTGACAACCCTAAACATATAACATTAGATTAACAGACACAAAATCAATCTGTTCCCCTCCCTTGGATAAGGATTACAATCCCAAATAACCACAATAAAGAAATTAATATAGTTTGGGTTTTTTTGGTTTTTTTTAAGAGAGGGGGTCTTGGTCTGTCACCCAGGCTGGAGAGCAGTGGCATGATCATAGCTCACTGCAGCCTCAAACTCCTGGGTTCAAGTGATCCTCCTGCCTCACCCTCCCACCTCCCACCTCTGCCCTCCACACTTCTTTATATTTTACTTTTTTTCCCCTTGTATTGTCAATTAGCATTGTGTAGTCTTTTATTAATATCTACATCATGGGTTTTCTTTTGCTTACACTCATGTTTGTGTTTCAAACACACTTGCAGATGGGCCTCACTCCTGGATGCAAGCTTTTCTTAGGCTCCACTGCTCACACCCCAGTAGAATTAGTCAGTCGACCTATGCTAGTATATGCTTGGTGTCTAGTATGTACTTTTATTATCAAACTCATAATACTGAATTATGGTTGTTTTTCTATTCATCCATCTTCCCTAATAGAATGCCTCATATTTGTCTGCGTTTTCCCAGGGTCTAGCACAGAAGTTGGCTGGTTAAACCAAACATATTTTACAGTTATGGAAGCTAGTACATTCCCAAAGGCAATTATAAAACTTTTTCTTTCCTTGAAAGGCTTACTCTCTGGGGGTCCTTTTACTCTGGTCTAGCCTTGTAGTAGTTAACACAACCAAGACTTAAGCTGAACTAAAAGTGGAGGAATTCCGTTAAGAAGGTGTCGCAAAATTAGAAAAATTGGCCGGGCGCGGTGGCTCAAGCCTGTAATCCTGGCACTTCGGGAGGCCAAAACGGGAGGATCGCTTGAGCCCAGGAGTTGCAGGTTGCAGTGAGCTATGGTAGCCCCACTGCACTCCAGCCTACGCGACAGAGCGAGACCCTGTCTCTGGGAAAAAAAAACAAAAATGAAAAACAAAACTAGAAAAATTGAATAGCGTCTCTGAAAAAATATTTGCAAGGAGGAGTTGAGAGTGGAGTTTTGTTACAATGTCACATATTAACAATAGGGAGGGTGACATTGTGGTGGAAACCAGGGTCGGGCCCCACTACTTTCTCCCCTCTGTCTCGGCGGCCAGGACGGGAAAGTGAAGACGAAAGCAGGACCTACTCTGATGGCCCCTCTCAGGCTGGCGAGCCACGCTGGCCACTTAGGCTGTGCGAGAGGCAGTTGAAGAGCTGAAGGTTGGCGGACCTGAAACCCTCTTAAGGGTTTGCCTTTCCGGCTTGGGAGGGCGTTTCCTTTCGTGTGGCCCCGCCCCCAGTGGGGGTCTCCTCCCCCAACAGGCCCCGCCCGGTTCCTGCGCCTCCGCTGCCCTAGCTCACCTATTCCGCCCCCTGAGGCCACGCCCCCTGATCCCGGCCCCGCCCAGCCTAGCCCAGGCCCTGAGGATCCACCGGCTCCGGCCTGCGCGGGGCGGAACCTGCACCCGGGCACCTCCGCTTCCTTTTCCTCCTTCTTCCTGGGGATCGGTGCCATACCGTGTGCAGCGGGTCCCCGGAGCCCAAGAACGCGGTGAAAAATCGGCCGGGGCGAACCTAGGGTTCCTTCCCATAAGGCCCGGGCCCCGCCCGGGTGTTGGGCGGTGGCGGGTGGCCTGGGGGTTGAGTCACCTTTCTGGTGCATCTCTGCAGTGAGACCTGTCGGGGAGGGTGGACCCGAAGATCCGTTTCTTCCTCCTGGCCAACCAGCCTGACCCAAGTGATAGGAAGGGGATTAGGGAGATAAATTGTTAAAAGGAAAGGAATGCAGCTGAATTACGGGAGTGCTTAACTGAAAAAAAAATGAGGAAGCAAGGACTAGAGTGAATACTAAAATTTTTTGAGGCGAATTCATTGTCAGAAAATACAAATGACTAGAACCACCATCTAAGTGTCACTAATTTCAAACTGCCTTTTCATTGCAATCCACAGGATGCCTGGTAATTACAGTAGATACGTGACCTAATACTTGCAGACCAAGTTCAGATGAAAATAGAGAAATGTAGGCACAAAACAGGAAAATAGGGTACTGGTGTTGAGTTCTCTTCAGGTATCTCAAAGATATTGGGGGAAAAAAATCTCCAACGAGTATACTGAACTCAGACATAATAAAAAATGACATGACGTGACTATCACCTGATTTTCTTCATGTCTGACATCAGACTGTACTCACAGCAAGTATTCATCGTCTGGTGTAAGCCCTTGTGATCAAAATGAAGCCAGATGATTTAGCGCGTACGCTTGTTTGCCTATGTTCTCCAAAACTGAAGAGCATTGCCTCCACACTTCTTGTAGGGAGTTTAAAGGAAAAAAACAAACCAAACCACTTACCTGCTTCAAGTGCTTAGCATTGTGCTAGAATAATTATAGAAGCTATCTTTCAGCTTCTGTGAAATTTTGCCTAAGGAAATGTGTAGTGAAACAGATTAAGTTGTGAGACTTACTTCGTAACTACCTATTACTACTAAAACGTTGCCCTTTAGAAATAATTTCAGCAATATGGCTAGCGTCATAGCCAGTGCCTGTATTCCCAGCTACTTGGGAGGCTGAGGCAGGAAGATTCCTTGAGCCCAGGAGTTAGAATCCAGCCTGAACAACATAGGGAGACACCGTTTCTAAAAAAATTGTCAAAAGACGAAGAAGAAATAATTTAGCAGTAGTTGGTGAAAAATATAAATAAGCATGTATGCCTGTCACACCGACAAGGATATAGTAAAAATTCTGAGTTGTGGGCAAACAAGATATATATGATCGTTCTGTTTCTACAATGATCCTTCTGCCTCTGATGTAAAGAATGAGTGAATATGGTTAACAGAATTAAGGAAGAAATGATGAGTAAAGGAAAGAGTTCACAGATTTCTATTTGAAAGACCCCCCCAGGTGGAAATTTAGACATGTGAAGTTTATTTTTATCCCACGTGGTAATGAAAGGTGAAGTGAAAACAGGCTGTTTGCTGGATACTTGCTGTTCATTATTTCATTGAACCTTCACAACTTCCGTGAGATCTCTATTATCCTCATTTTACTGAGAGAAAAATCAGGGCTTTGAGAAGTTAAAGTAATTTGCCCAAGGTCACAGGACTAGTAAATTATCAGTTTAGGACTGAACTCAGGTCACCCATCTCTCCAAATTAAAAATCACGCAGAATGCAGGTGTATATATTTATCTAAGTGCATCTAGCTATACAGTTAAAGTGTGTACATTTATGTAAATTATACTCCAGTAAAGTTGATTTTTTAAAAATCATGCAGAATGAATGTGATTTTTTAAGAAAAAACTCATCAAAGAAACAGCATTATGATGATTTCACACATGAAAGCTTGTGAGGAAAAAGAGAAGTGATATGTATATCATATGCTTTTATATATAATTAACATATAATTAATGATATGATTATGATATATAAAAAAGATATGCCTTTATATATATGTAATTAACATACACACTGAAAGGTTGGTGACACCACGGACAAGGCTTATTCATTCAGGTAACCTTCCCTAACTTCAGATACAGATGTATAGAAATATCATACAGGAAGCCTCCAGGGGTTAGGGGCATGTAAGTCTTACGGAAATCAACCAAGTGAACACAGGATTGACAAAGACATTGGAAGTATGTGATATCATACCTATCTTAACAAAAATATCTTCTAAGTATGGGGCATTAAAAGGATCAGTTTTGCTATTGGGAATGCATTAAAGTTACCTTTTTTTTTATTTTTGTCTTTTTTCTAGCAAGTGACTTAAGGATAAAGTTACCTTTTCTATGTATAGTATACCATGTATTATACTAAAGATTGTGATTATAAGATGTGCAGCAGAATTTATAGATTTTTATTTTCAATTAAAATTTATTTGACCCGTTTGTGAAAGACAAGTGATTGAAGGCTGTGTTTAGCTGTTTAAAGACAATGTATTGACAACTTTTTCACTTTATGATGTTCCATTTTGATGTTTCACCAGTTTCAGAAACATTTTGAATTTGAAGCTTTAATGAAAATTCATGAATCCAATATTTTGTGAATTGGGTATTCTGAACAATTATGTAGAAACAGGACACAAAATAACTCAGTTTTTCCCACAAGTGGCAAAACTGGCTTTCTTAGGATGCTTAAACTGATGATAGTTGCTACCCTAACCCAATACAGATGTGTCTGTATTGATCGATTTAACAGCCCCCCTGTAATGACAAACTCTACGAGGCCTCAGAATAGGATATGACTGATTGGATTTCATTGTTAGGAATTCTGCACAACCTTATGTTTTCCAAAAAAAAAATATTTTCTCCTTCAGCAATCATGAAGACAGTAACATATCTTGAATGAAAAAGAAAATAGTTGTGAGGGAAAGTGTGAGTCTTAGGGCAATTTGATCAAAATGCATACTCAACACCCTTCATGAGCTCAGAAGACTGACCAGTGCTCTCCATCGGCAGAGTTCTTTTGCAAGATTGAGCTTAACAGCAGAAAATCACTACTCTTGGCAATTAGATATAACCAGGATAGTTGGGGAACAGCACAGTCCCTGAAATGAGACCCCTGTGTGAACACCTAAACTTCTTGCTGGTGGTTACTATCTTCACTGTTTTACTTCTAACATTTGTTAAATATTAGTGTAGCTTACTTGGCGATAAGAGCAGCTGCGTCTCCTCAGACATGCTTAAGACTGTAATTGAGGGAGCAGTAAAAATGTTTCCACTCCAACTAATTTCTAGCACAGTTTTTCTTAATTTATTAATAGAATTTATAATGATTCATTCCAGAAATGTACTCATTTACTAGAAACCACTCTGAACAGGTAGAAACAATTTTAACACATGAGTGTGTTATCCAAATAAATGCATTCTTCTCCAGTACAGTAGCATATCACCTCGAGTTCCTCTATCTGCATGTTAAAAATTGAGATACAAAATAAAAGGAAAAAGAATTGAGATACTATTTCGAAACTGTATATCAGAGTCTTAAGATACTTTCTGGCAAGATATATTAAGAAGCTTTCTCTTTTTTATTTAATAAGTTTTTTGTTTTTGTTTTAGAGACAGTCTTGCTCTGTTGCCCAGGCTGAAGTACAGTGGCATGATCCCCAAGTAGGTGGGCACCTGGCTAGTTTGTAGAGACAGGGTCTTGCTGTGTTGTCCAGACTGGTTTCAAACTCCTGGCCTCAAGTGATCCTCCCACTTCAGCCTGCAAAAGTGCTGGGATGATAGGCACAAGCCAAGAAACTTAAAAGAGTTTATGACCTCCTATAAATCTATCCAGGAAATAGTAATTTGACCAAGATTTATATATAAAAGATGTTCACTGCAGTGGCCTGAGCAAGAGCAAGACCCTGTCTCTACAAAAAAAAAAAAAA